TGTAGAAAAGGAGAGAAAGTATTAAAAGATATTTTGTACATGTTGAAAATTGCCCAAGATTCATTTCGATGATTAGCAATTTATACTTAAATCACCACCAATATAGATTTCGTCATTTCACTTTATTTAGAGCATTCTCCACAATTAAAATAATGACTATACAAAAACACCAATAATAATGTAAAAGACTTAATGATATCACAGAATTACCAATATTAAATGTACTAAAAATTTCCACCATAATAAGTTTATGTAGTATAAATTTTTTATATACAATGTACATATTTCACTATCATAATAAATAGTTCTATATTTTCCAGATATTCCTATCACTGTATTCTGGTGCTACACTTCTCCTTGTTCCTCCAGTCATCAAATCCTCTCCCCTTCTCTTCTCTCATGTCGTCCTACGATCACGTCATGTGACTCTCCTTCAAGCCACGCCTACTCTAATTCGTCGATTACCCTCGGACGTACTGAGGGAGGAGTTATTGGGGGCGTGGTCAAGTCTCCGGGTACTAGCCTTTGGAGGAGAGTCTTGTCCATCAGTGAAGACATTAAGAGAATGGAAAAGCAGCGAGGTAGAGATATACATGTAATATACATGTATTTTGTTCCATTGTCACAGAATCCGTGACAAGCAAAAACCCATTAGTTCCATTGTTACAAAATCTGTGACAAGCAGAAACCCATTGGTTCCATTGTCATGAAATCCGTGACAAGCAAAAACCCATTAGTTCCATTGTCACGAAATCTATGACAAGCAAAAACCCATTTGTTCCATTGTCACAGAATCCGTGACAAGCAAAAACCCATTAGTTCCATTGTTACAAAATCTGTGACAAGCAGAAACCCATTGGTTCCATTGTCACGAAATCCGTGACAAGCAAAAACCCATTAGTTCCATTGTCACGAAATCTGTGACAAGCAAAAACCCATTTGTTCCATTGTCACAGAATCCGTGACAAGCAAAAACCCATTAGTTCCATTGATTATTTCTTGTATTTATTAATTATTTTTTCAAATTTCAGAACAAAACCCGATTGTTCAATATCTACGGTATCACTGAAGTATCCAGTTGGGCCTCTTGTCATGAAATAGACATTCATGACTCCGCCTACGATAAACCCCACCCACTTGGAGTACCCATCGGAGAACCACTACTGGGCACTCAAATAGAACTGAGAGGAAACGAACAAAAGAGAGTATTCATCGGTAAACATGTACATGTAATGCATGCAGATTTACATGTACATGTATAGTATACCTCCATTAATGTTAAAATACTATATATAATGTACATGTACATGCTTTCTCATGTACAGTACGTGAGGTAAAACATTGAAGATTAATAATTTTTTGTGTAGGTGGAGATTATAGGGTGTGTTGCCTTGGCAAGGAAGAGTCCCTCGTCCAGGGTACCTTTCGGGACAGTGGAGACGATGGTACGACTGACGAACATGGACGCATGTATTTATGTGG